TTTTTTTTTTTTTTTTTTTGGTTTCTCATCCGGTGTCCGGTACTCACATTAGAACCCGACTAAATCCGAATTCGCGACGGAAAATCCCACATTGGGGTTTTTTTTTTGGGGGGGGGGGGAGATAAAGCGCTCCCTAACAAAGGCGGCTCCATATACAGAGACCCGAACCCGAGAATGAAGGAGTACTTACCACTCCACCCCAACCCTTGTTGGTGCAATTTTAATATAACGGCCAAATGCTTGTATGTGCAAACAGAACAAGAATAAATCACGAGAGCTGAGATTATATCCGGAACAACAGAATCTTGGTGTCTTGTTCTCCATTTATTTTTATGCTCATTATCCATTTTATTTCTTTCAGAAGGAAAATCCTAAGCTTTACATAGTCCATTCGGACTCAAGCTCAGCAATGAAAGCTTATATTGAAAAAGAAAATGGAAATGAAAATTACTTATGTATGTTTTCATTGCCAATAAGCCATTCTTTAACTCGCTTTGGCAAAATGTCAGAATACACATCTTAGGTATTGCCGAGGAGCTGATAACAAGTTTCAAGACAAGGACAATATTGTATGGACTTAAAAGCATAATAAAACTGCAATGCAGTAAAAATACCATATATTTTCCGGGAGGTGATTTAGAGGGGAGTAAAGTAATAACCTGCTGGCTGTCCCATTCCAGCGTTTTGTGGCATTCCAAAAGGCGTTCCGTAGTATCCTGAAGTAGTTCCAGCAAGTTTGGACAAACCCATCTGGCCTTGCATCCCGTTGCTCGCATATTGCTGCCACAACTGTTGTTCCTGCGTTAGCAACTGCTGTTTCCTCTCCAATTCCGCCATTTGGACGTATGAAGGAGGTGGCACAGAAAGTGAAGCAGCAAATGGATCTTGATTCCCTACTGGTTGGATTGTTCCATCAGGGGCAGGCAACGCGAGCATAGGTTTAGACCTGTTGCCTGGTCCAGGCAATGCCACGCTGCTGGCACTCCCACCAGTTACCTGAGTATTGCTCACGTGCTGCCTCACAGTCCCCTGATCGTACATCCCGTTTAATAAAAGTGAATCAAAACCACCTGCTAAATCAGCCTTTTGCTTTGACAAATTACTGGCAGTTTCTACCAATGCCAACTCCCAATCAGCTTTGCCAATCTCAGCAGCTGGTGTCTGCCAAGCTGAAGTTACTTGTCCGGCCTCACCATCAGATGGGAATGCTTCCCACGAGTCATTTCCATTGGCTACCGGCCCAGAAAACAGAGCTAACGCCATTTTATTACCCTCGCCATCAGCTGTCACTCCATCATCCTTCAAATTAACCAAGTCCTCGGCTACCCGCTGAGTATCTGGCCTTTGCTGAGGTCCAGGTTGAGAAGGAGGAGGGGTGTAAATGTAATTCTCTGGCGGTGGAAGAGCTTTAATTTCATTCATATCTGGTTGTTTCTCCTCTTCAGCTGCTAATGAGCTCTCCGCCCTATTTATCTCGGGGCTCCTTGGCCTATTTGCTCTCTCTCTCAAGAAACCCTCAAGCGTGCCCAAAAGCTTATCAGTGATGATTTGCACCTCCGGGAACTCGGATGACCTTGCAATCCCAACATCCTTGCACCAATTGTAAATCCCCACAAGTTCATCAATCATCTTTGCAGCATTAACATAAGCATCAAACGCCTTGACGCAATCGGCATACTCCATCTCTGCGAACCGATCCAACAAAAACTGTAATACCTCACAAATATCAGCATAAAGCTTGAAGCTCTCCTTCACAAGTGAATATAACGCCACCAGCACCATCCTACTATTTTTTGCTGCCCCGGTTGGTCTACAAGCCAAGAACCTATCAAGAAGCTGAAGCAATTGATTCAACCTCTCTAAAACCCGCTCGGGCTTCATTTCTCTGACCGGTGTCACACCGTTTTTCTCTCCCCTTCCAGCGGACTCATCAAACTCGCTATAGGACCTCTCTCCCCTATCCATCCCATAACCATCTTCAAACCTCTTTTTGATATCAACGTCATTCAACTTCCTATCATAGACGGTAAACTCAAGCTTCTGATCTAAGTAAAAGGCGTAAGTCCTAACAAATCCAGAATGATCCCATGAGTTAGAGTGAGCTTCATCACGAAAATCGGACATATTCAAGACCCTCATCCCCCTCCGACTTGCATACATGATCTCTTGCCCGAGTACAGGATCTCCATCAGTTAACAGCCTATGCACAAGCATTAAGGCCTTCAATGCCACAACCCAATCGTGGGTTTTACTCAACCTCTTCGACACAGCAAAAACAAAAGCACTCACATATCCTCTAGAATGGGACGTCAAGTGCAAAATCTCCCTAATATATTTCTCATCTGCTGGCTCATTATCATGAGTGGTTGCTTTCACCACCAATACTTCGAGGTCTGGCGCAACATTGCCGGCCACTTTAGCTAGGCTTATACTAGTTTGATCTTTCACTGCCCCAATTGCCTTCCTAATACTTGGAGCCATCACCAATTATATTACAGGTCCTGATCCAGTAACTTGGTATCTTTGATCACCTTTCACAAAAACCAATAAAAAAACAAAATTCAAGTTCTTTTATTCCAATTTTATTTTTTGCCTTTCTGTTATTCAAATTGATTACAACTAGAATGAAAAATATATACTCCACCTGTCACAAAAAGGTTGAAGAGGTTCGGAGTTCCAGGGTCAAATCTTCTAAAGTAAATTCAGAAAAGTACTACAAATCACAACTTCTACAATTAAAAATATTCAGAAACGAACCCCCCTTGTTGAAAAATTACACTATGTAAATAGCGGAAAAATGAATTTTTCAGTTACAATAAACTGTTGAATCCCCTAAACATAACGGCAAATTCTAAACAAAGGGGATTCAAATATTCGTTTACGTTCAAATCCAAAGTGTCACATTCTAATATTTTTTAAATCCCCTTTGTATAAATTTTTGGCTCCGTTACCGTATTCAGAGAGTACTTATAAAAAAAATTCCGAGTGTATGAAAAAGTTATTTGATTTCCCATGTTGTAATACTGTCATATAAAACAGAACATAGGAATTATCTAACATATAAAAAATTAAAAAGATGGATAATCTAAAAATAAGAACTCTTTTTTTTTATAAGTAATATTAAGAACTTTAAACCCTTTTGTCAGTTTGTTATTAACAATTTGAATAGATCAGAGTCAAAGCCGGCAATGATGAAATTTTCAAGATCTTTTAGTGAAATATCAACAAACATATACACGTGACTATTACTATACAACGATCAAAAAAAGGCTTAAACTCAATCGTAAAACTAAAACCAATCAATACCCATATGAAATTACATTGAAAAGTGAGAGATAGGGGCAAAAAATTCATACCCTTTTAAGAATTTCACCGAATTTGATTTGATCGAAGCTGAAAATTGAAGTGATCGGCGGAAAATCCTATATATAGCCAGTCGAACAAAAAGTGTACTGAAAATACATAGTAAATAGATATAAAGGGAAAAGTGAGAAAAGATACAAAAGAGGGGAAGAAGAGAAAGAAAACGCGTAGAGAGAAAGGAAAGAGTAGTCGTAGTAGTAGTAGTAATGGCTTTAAACTGAGAGAGTCGACTCTATTCTGTAGACTTGTAGTTAGCGTATTCTTTGTATGTATACATTGGTGCGTTTTGTGGGTGTTTTTACGTTTTCCTCCTTCTTTTTCATTTAAATTCATTTTTCAAATGTTTTGGTGCGACCTTTTCTTGCAACCCTATATTTCTATATTGAAGGTGATCGAGACTAAAATAAAGGAAAACTTGGGAGTGCCTAAAAGAAATTGAGAGTCTATATATATATATATATATATATATTGAGAAGAGGAGCCTTGGCGCAATGGTAAAGTTGTCTTTGTGTGACCTATAGTTCACGGGTTCGAGCAGCGAAATGAAATCAGTCGTTGATGCTTGCATTAAGGTAGATTGCCTACATCTATCACATCTCATGAGATGTCCTTTTGTGGACCATGCGTGAATGCAGGAAGCTTTGTACACCAGACTGCCTTTATTTAATGTGTGTGTTGGGTACAAGAAAAGTAATTTTTCAAAAAATAGGTTATTTTTAAAATATTACGTAAATATTTAGATTAAATTAGTAGTATGAAGTTAAGAGTTTGGATAATTGCGAAGGAAGATGATATCTGCCCAAACACACAGATAAAAAGGTAATTATCTGTATATTTATAAGAAAGTATAATTAGTAATATAAATTTTTTGTTACATTATTGGTGAATATAAGTTAACTTTTATATTAAGAACAACATTTTCCCCTCCCAACTACATAAAACACACGATAATATATAATATCCTATAGTCATCAATTCCTAAATATATGGATTACAATTTATTATATTGGAGCTGAAATAATGATCTCTTAGCCATTAAGCTATCCTCTTGAATATTAGTACGGAAATTCATCAAAAAGAATTTCAAAAAAAAGGGCCAAAGGGGATAAGGCCTTTGTAATTTGTGGCTTATTATTAAAAGGATTGTGAGGTTTCAAAAAAGTTGTAGTTTTCTTTTTGAAAATTCAACTTTGTATTTTTATTGTTTTTAATTTTGTTTGTGTTTTTCTTTGCTTGGAATGAGGAAAAAGACGAGAATAAACCTTAAAGGACTGGTTTCCCTATAAAATCTGGAATTTAGTGTTTGTTTCATTAACATGTTCTAGTTTGTTGTATGGAATATTATGGCGACTAAGAATCTTCCGTGCAATTAAAAATAATTTTTTTAACAGTTCTTTTTTCATTTACTTTTTGCTTTATAATTGGATACTATACCTTTTCAAGTTAATCAAATCACACTGGTGATTTGGTATGTCATAGAATTTCTTTTTATCTTTTATAAACTTATCTCAATCAGAATATTGACCTTTTATTTTTAAATTGCTTTGGCTGTTGAATATGTTTGTACACTTATTTTTATTATGTGCCGCTTGTCAATACTTAAGGTTAAGGGAGTGCATAGCTAATCTAATTGAGTAATTTAATCCTAATAGTTGTAAATTAAAATAAAAATAAATATCACTTAATCATGATTAATTGAGAAATTAGTACGTATGTCTTTTATTATTAGATTGATGCAAAGACCATTTGCTGGTAAAAAATAATCGCGGTGAACTCCCTTCCCCTATTATTTATGTATGTAATTGAAGATGTTAATGAATTTTTTTTATAAAAAAAAACAGACTACATATATACAAACTCAAAACGTAAATAAAACAGAGAATTAAATAAATGAGTTGGTTATTTCCTGGAAGTACTAATTTATACCAGTATATTCCATATCAAGTAAGATGGCACCCTTTTAGTTTGGTTTTAATTGCCAATTTATTTTGGTTTCTCTTGGTGACAACGCTTTGTGCTCGACTAATTCTAATTCGGACCAGATAAAGCTTATTATTTGCCAATTTATTCAAACATATGACTTAAATAATTTGATTGTACAAATCTCTCAAATTGTGAGACTACATAAGGCATATGCACAAATTAGAAAAGAAAACGTAAAATTAAGTGTAGATTCATGAATTTAAATTAATTGTCTCTATCTTGCAATATAATTTACTTAGATTGCAAATGAAGCATAATTTGCAAGTGGGATATTTTCATTGTTTTTAAATCAAGTGCATTATTATTTGCACAAGAAAGCACCATCATTAATCCATTCCTTTTCTAAGGCTTGTGTTAGTGGGGAAAACTCAATTAGTTCAGGACACTTCACTAGGTATTTATAAAGTTTTTGACTTTTATTGTTCAAACATGCCTTTATGATAACAATGGGATTTTATATTTTATTTTTGCTCTTTCTATTTAACTATGGAAGGGGTAATTTTCATACAGGGATGAAAGGTATTTTTCATAGAAATATTTTTCCTGAAAAATATTTTTTGATGTTAGCTAGGTGAGTTAAAAATATTTTTCAGATAAGATACACATTAATAATTAATAATAACATTAGTAAATTGGATAGTAATAAAACTTTTGATTAGTAAATATTAATAATAAGAAAAATAATTTTTTTTTCAAAGTCCATCATCAAGATGGAGGAGTTAGGCATGACTCCAACCTGTATATTTCAAAAATAACAATTTTTTTTTTTGGTAATTAAACTTTATTTTCACGTAAATATATACAAGTGTTTGGACATGCAACCCCAAACTTAGTAACATCTCTTCCTCACTGACTACTCTAAGGATAATAGTTGAGCTTTTGTAAACTTTATTTTCACGTAAATATATACAAGTGTTTGGACATGCAACCCCAAACTTAGTAACATCTCTTCCTCACTGACTACTCTAAGGATAATAGTTGAGCTTTTGTAAACTTTATTTTCACGTAAATATATACAAGTGTTTTGACATGCAGCCCCAAACTTAGTAACATCTCTCCCTCACTGACTACTCTAAGGATAATAGTTGAGCTTTTGTAAACTTTATCTTCACGTAAATATATACAAGTGTTTAGACATGCAGCCCCAAACTTAGTAACATCTCTCCCTCACTGACTACTCTAAGGATAATAGTTGAGCTTTTGTAAACTATTCCTCAATCTACTATGACTATGGCCTATACAATGAATATCTATAACTATTTATCTAGTAATATCTTCACTGCTTCTTTTAATCTTCTGAAAAATCCTTCTATTTCTTTCCAGCCATATGTAATACATTGCTCCAGTCATACTCAGCCCGTTCAGCATGGTTTTGGATCCGTTGCATTTCACCTGTTCTACTGCCCATTTGATCTCCTCATCCCATCCTTTTGGTTCTCGACCGAAACCCATCCAATTTAATGTTCTTCTCCAAACATCTTCTGAGAAAGAACAAGTAAAGAAGATATGGTTGTGACTTTCCATCTCATGCTCACATAATGGACATTTTGGACTTACTTGCATCCCCCATCTAGTCAATCTATCTTTTGTATATAAACTCCCCTGCATTGCAAGATACATAATAAATTTCCATTTTGGATAGCTTCTATTATTGCATAGCAATCGACTCCAGCTCACCTTTAGAAATACCCCTCTTAGTTGCTTGTACATTCCTCTAATGGAAAATGAATCAGTTTGCATTATGCTGATACCCAATTTTTTCCTATATACTTTTCAATATTCAAAATACCTTAAAATAACATGTATATGCATATATAAGTATGTCCAAGCGTTTATTATTATTATTTTTAAATTTTTAAAGGTTTTTAAATCAATTTATTTCTCTATATTTATCCATAAAAACCCAATAATTATTTTTAAAATTATCATTTTTGGTGATTCACTTGTTGAACTTTTATATTTATGTTAAAATATAGCCAAGATAATTTTTGCATATTTTTACAAATTTATTTAGCATTTTTAAGGGTAAATTGCACACAATTGCAATGTTAGCCATTTTAAGGTTTAATTATGTTTTATACACATAGAATTGGATCCTGTATTTTTTAATTGTTAGTTATGTACTATAAATCATTTTAGCCCTTTAAATTAGTTTTCAGAAATTATTTATTATTTTTTATAAAATAAATAGGGAAAACTGGCTATTTAAATTTTAGCCAAATTTGGCTTTCAATTATGGCCAAAATTGGACCCCAAATCTCAGCCCAATTTTAATTAGAACTGGACCCCAACCCAATTGAAAACCCACTGGACCAAGCCCAAACCCGGATTCCCACCTATTCCCATTCAATCTGGACCATTGATTATTCAGATCAACTGTCGCTAGCTCCCCTTCCTAAATTAAACCAAACGACCCCCCCCAAAACCCTTTCATTCCTCACTCAACCGACTCTCATCTCTCTCTCTCTATCTCTGATTCTCTCTATAACCTTCCCCCCTCCCCTCCTCTCCGATGAACTTCACCCACTTTCTCCGGCCATCTCCTTGCTTGAATATATGGTGGTCTCACCACCTACCAGCCTTATGGCTCCCTCTTGAACGTATGTCACCATTTTGAGGCTTTCAAGTGAACCAGAGGTGGTTCACTCGCCTCCCATGGTTTCCCATGCCATTTTCCGGTCATCCATGGTCGTTCGAGTAAGATCCGTGACTTTTCTGGCTAGATCGGTAACTTTTCGAAGTTTTCTCACTTTTTTTGGGTTTCCCAAAACCCTAACTTTAAAGACTTTCCGATTTTCTTTCAGATCTATCTTAGATTTTTGAATGTTATGAATCTCTTGGTGTTTTTCTCAAAGGTTTTTTCCGATTTTTTCGAAGTGACTCTCCGTCTTCAAAATTAGGGTTTTTAACCTCTTTTAAAAGACTTTTCTTCTGATTTTCAGTGTTGTCTTATGATTTACTATGTTTAAACGAGTTGTTTATGTTTTCTTCTACCTGGTTCATCATGTTGAAAACCCTAAGTATTTTTGGTTTTTATCCGGGGTTCTGGAACTGTCTTTGTTCATTTTGTATGTATGCTTGTTTCGATTGAGCTCTTTATGGTTAGATCCTTTTCTTTGTTTAACTTGACTGATTCTGAGTTCTTACCGTTTCTAACTCAATTTTATTAAAACCCTAATTTCTTAAAGATTTTCTTCACTTGTTAATGTGAGTTTTAAAGACTTCTTTTACTCGTTTCTATGTGTTGGCC